TTCCATCTAACATAAACTTTTATTTCCTATAATATTCTGTATATCTCTTTCTGTCTGTCTACTCCGTATATTTCTAATCATGATATTCTGTCTACCAACTACAGTGGTTCCCAACCTTTTTAATTTTATGGCCCCTCACCCATATACAATAATTTCCAATGGAAACCTGAACACGGTTTTACACACACACACACACACACACACACACACACACACACACACACACACACACACACACACACACACACACACACACACACTGTCTGTCATCCTTTTTTAGCGTTAAGAGTAAGTAAAGCATAAAATTTGTCATATATGGTTGGGAGATTGCGTAGTGCATGCAAAGTGCCTTGCGTGAGAACTGTGTAGTTACAAGTAGGAAATTTTGTACACAAGACGACTCTGAAGGCAGATCGCTCACTGGGCGCTCACAATGTACTGATGTCGAATTGCTGTTTGGGGTATAATAGTGTGTTCGATATATAATACGTACCTGTTCTTTCTCTCTCTTTCTTCTTTCTCACTCCCTACTCTCACACTCTCTCTCTCACACATACACACACGCACACGCACATACATCCCCTTACACACAGCTCACTCTTACACACAAACACATTCCTCTCCGTATTAGCAAAATCCCCATGACCCCCCCTCCCCACCCCCAATTTCACCCCCTTCCTTTTCACCCCCTCCAGCATGGCGCAGAAGCGAGGTGAAATATTGGCTGGACAACCTGAATTGTGATGCCGACTCTGCCATCCGAGAGTGCTTCTCGGAAACTCTTGGAAGACACGACTGCGGCCCGACTCAGGTACCATTTAGCACCCTAAGCGTAGTTCCCGCTGTTACCATGCGAATGCGATGATGTGGCCTAGACTTCGGCTTAAGATGGCTGTAACTTGATGCGATAATGTAGCGTAGACTTTATTTTAAAATGACTATTACTTAATGCTATGATGTAACTTAGTCTTCGGATTAAGACGCGATCATATATCCTAGACTTCGGATTAAGATGTCTGTAACAATGCTATGATGTAGCTTAGACAACGGACTAAGATGTCTGTACCTTAATGCGATGATGCAGCCCAGACTTCGGATTAAGATATCTGTACCTTGTTTATCAACCCTACCAACATCTGCACTTCAATTAGATTTTGCAAATCTCTTACTTGCATTACAATTTTGCATACATTCTTCCAACATGATAAACAGATAATGATCGTATACAAACTCCAATTTTCGCCGAAGTCATGGTTCTACCTCCGCATTCGTATAATTTGCGGTAATTGTGATCCTGGGTCGCTGGTGTGTATAGATATAATGAATATAGAGAGCAGTGGTAGAAAAGGTATGAATGGGAATGAATATCTTCACAAGACAAGAGATGCATCTGACCGGTTTCTGACGAAGATATGTTCGAAACCGGTCAGATTCATTTTCATTCATATCTTTCTACATTTGTTAACGGATTGCACTGGGAAAATATCGTTGATTGACTGCGACGCACGTGCTGTAAATCATAACAGCGTTAATGGTAACTGCAATAATTACAATGATGTTGGCGATGTCAATGTGAATGCTAATAGTAGTAATAATGACAACAATAACGATAATGATGATAATGGTAATAATAATGATGATCATAATAACAATGATGATATTAATGGCGATAATGATAATAACGATAATAGTAATAATGATAAAATAATGATATCGATAATAATGATAATGATGATTTCATGATTATAGTAATAATAATGATGATAATAGTAACGATAAGAATAGTAATGTTAATGATGATAATGATACAATGATAATAATAGTAACAATGATGAATATAATAAAAGTTATAATAAGTACATTAATAATGATGGTGATAATGATAATAATGATAGTAATAATTATGATAATATATAGATAATAATAATGATGATAGTAATAATTATGATAATAAATATATAATGATAATGATGATAGTAAAATTTATGTTATTAAACAAGAATAAAGATAGTAATTATAATATTAAGAAGTACAGCAACAACAATAATAATAAAAATAACAATAAGAATGGTAATGAGAATAATGATGACGGTGATGATGAAGATGATGGTGGTGATGATAATGATGATAGTGATGGTAATGGTGAAGATGGTTATAGTGATGATAATGATGACGATGGTGATAAAGATGATGATAGTGATGGTAATGATGAAGATGGTGATAATGATGATGATGGTGATAAAGATGATGATAGTGATGGTAATGAAGATGAAGGTGGTGATAATGATGATGATGGTGATGACGACACTGACAGATCGCCGGCGTGGTCTGCCGGACGTCAAACTCAAGATGCTCGGAGGCGGAGTTCCCTTGCACCGACGGCAGGGGGTGTGTTGCAAGGACTTTGGTTTGCGACGGCGACAGGGACTGCGCTGACGGCAGGTGAGACTCTGCGATGAAGACAAAGAAGGTTCTGCATGTTGGAGCTTAGAAAAGATAC